TTTTAACTCCAGCTGTTGCAGTCCATCAGTCGTATAATGCATGGCAATGGTAACAAAATCTATGAGAGTAAAAAAAACATGCACAGACAAATCCAAATTACTTGCTTGCGCTTATCCGGATTGTTCAAACCGACTTGAAACTAAAAGATTATGTTCTCTCAACCATTATGGTTCAACCGTTATGGTTGATTGCTCTTCGGCTGGATATCAACACATCCATTAACGTAAACTACGCCAGAGCGCGTACACACCTCACACACCGGAAGCCGTGTACACGCTCAAAGACAGTTGGACATAGTGGTGTATTAGAGGTAAAAAATTATATAAATACTGTTCGGTTTCTGGCACAAACCGATCGTTTCGTGTCTTAGGACATCAATGTGTCGTCACGAGCCGCAGGGTTTAATTTGGATTTGTCTGTGCATGTTTTTTTTACTCTCCTAGATTTTGTTACCATTGCCATGCATTATACGACTGATAGACTGCAACGGCTGGACTTAAAAATCATCTTTGGGTGAACCATCCCTTTAATGGTGTTTAGATATTTGTAATGGAAAACGAAAAAAAAAGACAAAAACACTTAAGATATTCTTTTTTAAGCCTTCATTTGTGGAAAGGCACCCCACAGAAAGCCTGGGCTTAAAACAGATGAAATCTTCGAAGGAATAATGTGTGATTATGCTGGCTAGAGTTCAGTGTAGCTCTATAATGAGGGGATCAGCCATTGTACTTACCATTTAGGACCACAAGCAGCCGTCAAATTAGCATTTATATAATGCTGAAAGACTAATAACTTCATTGCACTTGATTAAACTTCATTTTGATCTCCGTCAACTTTCATGAGTGCATTATTCCGGATATCAAACATTAAAGAACTATGCCCCTTATCCAAATGTTGGCCAAAGTGTTTGAACAAATTCCAAAAAAGTAAACATAGAACACACTGACAAACAGCACGCTACAATTATACCACTGCACCTACTTATGACCATATGCAACAGTAAATAAATTAGTTTTAAGAAGAGACTTAAAATCAGTGTATGTTGGGGCAGTTTTTATAAACGATTGTTTAAAATTGTTCAAAAGCTGTGGAGCACGGTCTTCTTTCAATTTTAAGCGTGGTCCTTGGAACAGTCAACTGAAGACTACTAATTGATCGAAGTTCCCAGGAACGAAAGGAGATCAGAAATACATGAAGGAGCCAGGCCATGCAAACCCTTATAAACAAACAATAATCTAATCTGGCTGAAATAAAAGCATGCATTACAGACTCCATGTCTCTTAATGTGAAGAATAACCTTCATTTACGCATTTTAACTAGTTACAAATACTTATTACAGTACTTGAGTAAATTATTTTTTTTTCTACTTCACTACATTTAATTTGGAATAAAAGTACAAAGTACATAAAAGACAAAGGAGCCGATGGAAAAACAGGGCGAGATGGTGTTTGACAGGCAATTTTCAAACTACTGGGGTGGAGTCCTGCGCTTCAGGCAATCACAGATATTGCGTGCAAAACTAACAAAGACTATAGATATAAAAGACAGTTCACTCCTATTACTTATGAATGGGAGAAACTCAAGCCATTGCAGCCATTTGTAAATTTTATGGGTCTGGCTTCTAGTCTCATCCACGTCCAGTTAATTTTAGCTGTACAAAATAGTTTGTTTTGCTGCTTGATATTGAAAATTGGTGTGTCTTACCATAATATTTTAATGTATTATCTTAGCTATGAACACACTGGTTTGTAGAGCAAACAGTTTTACCGTTTACTGCATGTTGTTATTCTTCTCGTTATTTCCCTGTAGAGTGGGGGAACTATGACGTCACTTTATAGGCCCATCGGCTGTCAGCATCACACTGGTTCCCTCGACAAAAAGCCAATAGAATTTTTCCAAAGGCTTTTGAATTATCACAAAAAATAAGCTCTGTGTTCAACCATAGTTCATGATACTTACACGGTTTGTCCATCAAGATAATCTTCACAAAATAATATAACTTGAATTTTGAAGCCTAAATACAAGCTAAACTTAGGCTATAAATGAACTTCACCACGGTCACTCGCCACCACAGAACTTCCAACAACTTTTTCAAACATGTTCAATGAAAAGGATGTACTCTGTGGATGAATTTTAATCCATGTTACATAAACCTTTTCATATCAAAACTGGAATAGGTACAAAACTAGAGCCACGCTAAAACTGAAATGAAACAATAATAAATAGTAGGTAGTGAATAAATGAAATAATCATAACCAAAGCACAGACGAAAGCACGTATTTCGAAATAAGGTGCATTAAAAGTCAATAAATCCTTGATTAATATGAATATTTTTTTTAAATCATAAGTGGGTTGTATCTGGTGTGTTTTATGTCGTAGAATAAAACGTGAAAGTATCGTAAGCTTGTGTTAACCACAGACCTTATTTTAGGGGATTTAACCAAACTCCCATTCAAAAAAAAAAAAAAAAAAAAAAAAAAACCCCAACTCTGGGACGATGGAACTGGAAGTGCTAAAATGCTAGCTCGCTTCCGGTGTTTTGCCTACTTTGCTTTTGCCCTTTCTTAAAAACATTCACATAATCTTACGTGGACTTACTTTTCAAAATTAGTTGTAAAACAATCGCTCCCGGCAACAGGGATACCTATGCTTGCTTAGCATCGTCAAACATATGAAACTAATATCATGTTTTGCTCCAAAATCACTATAACATCATATGTGTTTGAAATAACTTGCTTCTGTGGTCCATGTTGCTTCTTATCACAGAATGAGACAGAAAATATATTATTTTATAAATTCTATACTGTGTCGATTAGCCTTGCATTATAAATGTATATCATTCTGATGAAAATACCTGAAATGGCTTAAAGAACAGATATATCATCGCAATCGTGTGTTTATTGTCTTCCTGTTTCAGTGAAAACGTCTCTATCTGCATGTTATTCAGCTGTAGTGATATCTGATGTATTTGTACATAAGGGATTTCCTGGAATGTCATAAGTTTAATACTTTTATTAGTCTCACTTGTGAAACATACATTACATGAGAGTGTTTAAAAGGGATAGTTCACCCAAAAATGAAAATTTGATGTTTATCTGCTTACCCCCCCAAGGCATCCAAGATGTAGGTGACATTGTTTCTTCAGTAGAACACAAACGAAGATTTTTAACTCAGACCGTTGCAGTCTATCAGTCTTATAATGGCAGTCAATGGGCTCCATGGCTTTGAGAGTAAAGAAAACATACACAGACAAAACCAAATTAAACCCTGCTGCTCGTGATGATACATTGAGGTCTTAAGACACGAAACGATCGGTCTCTGCAAGAAACTGAACCGTTTTTATATAATTTTTTACCTCTGTTCCACCACAATGTCCAACTGTCCTGAGAGCATTCACAACATCCGGCGCGTGACGCGTGTACGGGCTCTGGCATAGTAGACATAGATATATATAAGTAGATGCCCGCGGCCCATAGAAACAGTCACTAATGAGGCATCTACACTAATGAAGATGTTGTGAACGCGCTCAGATTGCGGTGGAACAGAGGTAAAAAATGATATAAATACTGTTCAGTTTCTTGCACACACCGATTGTTTCGTGTCTTAAGACCTCAATGTATCGTCACGAGCCGCAGGGTTTAATTTGTGTATGTTTTTTTTACTCTCAAAGCCTTGGAGCCCATTGACTACCATTATAAGACTGATAGACTGCAACGATTTGAGTTAAAGCAGCACTATGTAACTTTTTCTGTGTTCAAAATTTGCAAAATGTATATAATGAGCGAGTACATCATGAATTAATCTTCCAAACCGCGTTTTTGTCTTATTCCGAATCACTACGGTACACTTATAATAAGTACTTATATTTGGACTATTGTAGCCTGGTCGTGTCGTCACCACTGCGGAGTAACACATACCTGCGTGAATCGCCAGAGACATAAACTTAGAGAAGTAGCTCCGGTTGGAATGTTTTTCCGCGGGATGTGTGCAGTTCTGTTTATTAACCGCTAGAGCGCCAAAAGTTACATAGTGCTGCTTTAAAAATCTTCGTTTGTGTTCTACTGAAGAAACAAAGTCATCTATATCTTGGATGCCCTGGGGGTAAGCAGATAAACATCAAATTTTCATTTTTGGGTGAACTATCCCTTTAATTAAGCTCCATAATGCTCACATCGCCTCGTTTTGGGCAAAAATTGAAAAATAATACAAAAGTGCTTAATAACGTAGTAATTTGAGTAGTTTTTCAGCAAACTACTTATTTACTCTTTTTAGTCATTTTTTCTTTTAGATTAATTTTTTTGGCGTTTTTTTGCCTTCATTGTTAAAGGACAGTTTAGATGAGACAGGAAACGAAGGGGAAGAGACAAAGGGGCAAGATCAGGAAAGGTCCTCGAGCCGAGATTCGAACTCGGGACGCACATAGCACAATGGCGCTTTATGTCGGCGTGTTACCCACAAGGCTATTGGCGCTGAAAAGTCATTATTTTTCAGTACTTTTACTTGTACTTACGAAAAAGTTATTTAATAATTTTCTTAAGTACATTTTTTAATACTCTTTCCACCACTGCTCCAAGAACAAATTAATGTTAGATAGTATTTATACTTGGGGCCAGTTTTACTAAACCGGGCAAATGAGCGCGAGAGCGCAATTCCAAAACCGCGCCGATGGGAGGGGAAATTTCTGCAGGTGATTTACTAACAACCGCGCAAATTAAAGAACACCGACGCAACATCTCATTTAAATATCGACCAACGCAATATACCAAGCGCAGTGCAAATTAGTGTAGTCGCAAATAAAGAATAAAGAAGCCACAGTACGTTGAAAAGAACCGGAGGCCAAAAAATGAAGGTTTGCTAGAAGTTTTGATAGAGCTGGTATTGCGTGACTCCTAGTTGAGGGTTTCAAGTCATCTTTTATTTCCTGAAGCAAAAAAAAAAAAAAAAAGCAAAAATACCTGTCAATGCCTTTTCAGCGCGTCTTTAGTAAAACTTGACAGTACAATTTTAACACCAAAAGATGGTTTGCACTGGCGAAAGCGGTTAGTAAAACTGGCCCTTAGTTGTAGTTATTTGCACCTCAGTGTGCAAATAGTCACTACAAGTCATAACCAAAAAAAGTGTTTTATTTTAACTAGCAAAACTAACATTTTAAACTAAACATTTCCCTCGTTATATATGACATCACATCTGAAATTTCTTTTGAAACACTGCTACAGCAGCACTCTTACCCTTTACCCGTGGAGTCTTTGCGGTTGAACGGCTGGTTTATGACACCCATGACCGGTTGGCCAGTGGACCGTAAGTAAACCCCAATCAGAACCAGAGCACATGGGAGACCGAATGGACAAAAGCCTTCATCCGGCTGTTCTTCCTCTTTGCCTTCGATGTACTGACTTGTTCCATCTATCAAAAGAAAATAGCTAAATACACATGTTGATAACCTGAATAATTCACACAACAGGAAAAGTCTCATAAGCATAACTGGTTGGTTTGTTCATTGTCCAGAAACAACAAATCTTTCTATTTTTAGGTTTCACAGCTCCCGTTTCAGTTTTCACATGAAAAATAACTGGTTCTGCAACTACTGGCACACAAAGACATACAACTGTACACTTATTATGTACAACCTCACATATATCAGCAAATATTTCCTCAACCCTCAATTCTTTGGTTTATTAAAGCTTTATGCTATATAGTTAATTACTGAATGTGGAATAATTATAAAATGTAATGTTGGTTATACGCTGTACAGCTTAATGTGTGTTTAATGAGTAAGCCCACAATGACCCTGCACACTTTACATTATCTGTGCTGATTTGATTGCTGCTGAGAACACAATCAAATTAGCCAAAATATTTCATAAGGATGTGTAGGATGTGAATGATGGGTCTTTTAGCCGAGTCACGATATGGCAAACACCAACATTTCCATGCCTTTTTTTTTTTTGTCGTCTGATCTTCGTGCTGAATGTAAAAAATGCAACAATACCAGTTAGGGTACACATGTATCTTCCTTTGAACTGAACATCTTACAAATGACACTCATCTTGTATATTTGTTTAGTAACCTAGTGTACAATAAACCTGGTACTGTGACCTATGAAATGTTGGCTCTACGAAAGATGCTCTTTATTTGGATTTTTTTATTTTTTTAAGTCTGCTGAACGAATAAAATGTAAAAGTAAATAAATTAGCCAAGTAAAAAGCTGGACAGAAAATAACAAATACATTACCGATGGGATCAATCCAGATGCCCACATCGGCTGGGCTGATTGACAGCTGCAGAGATTCAGCCGTCTTGTCTTTAATCTGAAGGTCCTGGTGGATCACCTTGGTCAGGAGGGACGCTGCGTTTTGATCACCATCCAGAACTTTAGCCAACAAAGCAGTTGTGTCCTCTTCCTGAGCGCATACTCTCACAGTAACACTCTCCCCTGAAAGAAATACAATCACAATCAACTCCAGTCAAATGGTGTTATTTATTTGATTAATACATTGCCTAGCTCTGAGTTTGAGTGTTCATGGCCATCAGAGATGCATAAACATACAATATGAGAACCAAAAGCATACCTGCAAACTCCAGACTGAAAAAAATATTCTGAAAATGTATGGAATGATAAACCACATATTTTTAAAAAAAAGAATGTACTGTGGTTAACCCTGCACACAAAGCAAGGCTTTGCTTTATTTTTTTCTTTATTAGGCATTGTAAAGAGGTAAGATGAAAAGAAAATGCCATCAAAACTTTTATGAAGACAGTCAGTTCTCTTCAGATAAACAACATTTATATAACCATCTCCCAAATAAAACCTCCTTGGATTTACACGAATCACATGAATGGCCTATTTCAATGTCAGAAGAACGAAGATTCCCTGGCATCTCATGAACACCCCCAAACAAACAGCATTTCAATCTCATGCCAAGTATTTCTTAGCTCCTCCAATATAATCATAAAATACTCCATAATGATAGCTACGACTTGGCTATTTATTATAATCATGCAACCATTTGCCTACCAGGTACCATAGCCACAACCTAACCACTGACTTTATCCCATCAAATTTTAAAATGCTTTGCATAACCCCAATTCAAATAATGACATATTCACCCCCTCGACCCAGGATAAAAACTGCTTGAACCCAAACTGACAGCATCTTTACTGTTCTCATTGTGTTTCATCTGAATCTGTCTGTTTCATTTCACACAATCACCCACCGCTGCTATAAACTGAGAAGCGCATCTCTAATCGGTGCTATGCTATTTGATAATTGGACGCATCAAGTGCTGTGGTCATGTAGTGACCTGTGGAAAGAAAAACTGATCAGAAAGCCATTTATTTGAATTTAATGTAAACAGGGTCTGTCACTGCAGTTGCAAAAGATTTTCTACACCTTGCATCCTAATGGAGAGTCCCACAGGGCTCTGTACTTGGCCCATCCTATGTTCTCTAAAACAGAATGCTTGGCTCCTTTAACAAATCATAGTTTCTTACACCACTGCTGCTTCAAGGACATAACGCACTTCACAGCTCAACATAACGCACTTCAACTATAATAAAATTATCTGAATATGCTTAAACTTTACACTGTTTTAGCGTTAACAATTTTATCTGATTTTACTTTTCCATGTTATCATCAAAAACAACATTTGCCATGCAAAGAAACATGTATTTATGTTGTCACATGATCTACAGCTTTCCATATTTCAGTGACGTTGAAAGTCAAATAACAAGTGCCACAAGAGTGGTGAAAATTTGAATACAATTGCATACTGAAATCCTATCAAATGCAGCACAGAATCAAAGCTGTTCTCAGGGTAACTTACCAAGTCCATTCTCAAACTTGTTTGACTCCTCTCCATGAATAAATCCAGTCAATTCTGGAAACTATAAAAGCAAGAATGGAATTTTTAGCCATCAAGACGACAACAGAAACAGACAAACTTGACTAAAATGAATTTTGATTTTAGTGAAAGCTTTATCTTTAAGAACCTGGGCACAAACATCATGGCGAATCATTTCCTGTATCAACACATCAGCAAGCGTCTTAAAGTCCTGGACAAATTTCTTGTTTTTGTCAGCTCCTGTCTTTTCTTGTACCAAAAGTTCAAAAAGCTGTGCTTCCTGTCGACAGACCCGTGCCACATTGGCGGCTTTTTCTGCCACGCTCAGGAGCAACCGCAGCAACTCTGCCATACCTGAGGCCTGTGAATCACACACAATAAATTAGCTTGGCTCAATATATTGGATAGGCAATGGTACAGTATTTCAGCACACTTAGGAACTAAACAGGTCAAGTGAAAATCGGGTCAAGCTGCAAAAATATTAGTAACCTAAAAAAAGACTCATTAACTTAAGTGGGACACAAACTTTGAGATCAAAGCACCATGATGAATGCCAGAAGAAAAATGTAATTAGACCGGTATATCTGCAAATCACAGCTTGATAATGAAATGCCTCAAAGAGGTCTGCATAAACACATTAGAGTCTTGAGTATCACGGTGATGTAAAGCAAAAAGCTTTGATACAAGTCATAACCCTGAAAACAAATGTGATGTGAAATAGTGAGTGTATTTGTATCAATGTACAAATGCATGCTGCTTGTTCAACTTTGGACTCAGATACAGTGAATGGTGCAAATATATGCAAATAGACACTCATGTACATCAATGGGCGTCCTCTACACAGTAAGATTACAGAGGGATAATGTCTACTTATATATATATATATATATATATTATACAATATAATATATTTTGATTATTTATTTTGCTAAGGATTATACAGCTTTGATGAATGTTACAAAGTTCACAATCTCTGACACCAAAAGACACACAAACACAAAATACATAAACATGTATACGTATACACCTACACCTACACCTACACCTACACCTACACCTACACCTACACCTACACCTACACCTACACGTAGACATAATCGTACACCTACACCTACACCTACACCTACACCTACACCTACACCTACACCTACACCTACACCTACACCTACACCTACACCTACACCTACACCTACACCTACACCTACACCTACACGTGGACAGAATCGAATGCTTTCCTTATTAGAAGACAGACCTCACAAGCAAAGGCAAGACATGATAATTACAGCTCATACCATTGAAATCAATCTGTAGTGGTTAGGTGTCCTTGAGTTGAAGCTGAGCGCTTCCTGTGTGTCACAGCTCTGCTACACCTACACCTACACCTACACCTACACCTACACGTGGACAGAATCGAATGCTTTCCTTATTAGAAGACAGACCTCACAAGCAAAGGCAAGACATGATAATTACAGCTCATACCATTGAAATCAATCTGTAGTGGTTAGGTGTCCTTGAGTTGAAGCTGAGCGCTTCCTGTGTGTCACAGCTCTGTACTGATCCTCTGTCTGAAAGCGCAAACACACTTCATCTCTGCTGCGTGACACCAGCGTATTTTAACGCAGATGTTTTAAGTAACAGAAACGCCTCGGAAATGAGAGCATTTCCCCCTCATTGCGTCAAAGTAATAGGCGGAGTTTGTTCATGAATACCGCCCTCTGCTGGAGTCTTCTTCTTCTTTTCTTTTTTAATGGTGGTTGGCAAACCCACTTAAAAGGTGCATTTCCGCCACCTACTGGACTGGAGTGTGGAGCATGACGAATATTGGTGACAGCATATATATATAAATATAAAAAAAACCTAATAAAAAAAAATTTCAAATAACCTTTAGTTTGACCAAAGGAGTATTACACAAGGATACAATTATTTTATATACTTCATTATGTGATCTTCAAATTCTATTTATTAAACCTATTGCTTTCAAATAATTAATAATTGCATTATAGACTTTATACTGTGCTGAAGCATACTCAAGTATTGTCTTAATTGTAATTCTTTCAATATTCAACAAACTTAATTCTTCTATTAATCGCATTCTTTCTCTTTCATATGCTTCACAATGTAATAGGATATGTTCCACAGTCTCTGGTATACCACAATTATTGCAATTACCTGATTCATGTTTACCAATAATAAATAATGATTGATTAAGAGCTGTGTGACCAATACGGAGTCTAGATATTATTGTGTCCTCCTTCCTACTTCCAAAGTTTTTCCTTCCATTTCCAACTTGTTTTTGAATGTTGTATAGATTCTTTACCTCCCCATCCCACATCTTTTGCCGTTTCCTAATCAGCCCCTCTGATTATTCCTTTCATTTCTGCTTTACTAAGTGATATATTTATATCTATATCGGTTTGTTTTAATGCCTTCTTGGCCATTTGATCAGCTTCCTCATTTCCCTCTATCCCAACATGTGCCGGTACCCATAAAAATGAAATACTTAATCTATATTGGTGAATTTTGAACATGCTTTGTAGGATATCATATAATATGTCTTGTCTAGATGTAGACTTGCCACTTAATAAACTTATTAAGACAGAATAAGAGTCTGAGCAAATAACTGTTCTTAATGGCTGTATTTCCTCGACCCAATTAAGAGCTATCAGAATGGCTATCATCTCTGCTGGAGTCAAACATGCATTACAGATAAAGTGAATGAAAGTCAAAACAAAAGGTTGGACATCAACTGCTCTCCACATACTTTTGCCTGACTTTAGGACATGACTGGTTTTAGATTGGCTACCTGGAGAAAAAAAAACTCTTATGAGTGATTTTTATATCAGATGGATATTTAATAAAGCAAGAGAATCTAACAAAATCAATGCGTGGCAAAATACTTAATAGTAATTGTAGTATATAGAATGTCTGCCTGAAGTGAAGACAGATCTGTATGAGGTTCTTAAGAAGCTGACCATAGACACCATGCTCAGTCATGACTGGGTGAAGCTTGAGCAACTGGCAAAGCCATTTCTGTGTAGAAAAACAATCCAAAAATGATGGTTTCAGTGTCTTTGAGACGATGACGAAGAAGGTTTGGTAAAAAGTCTTTAACTCTCTGTCACCTATCCTTACTGAAATGTCAGTGTCAATGTTGTGTTATGACCTAGAGTCAATATTTTTTATATCTAGTGTAGCTGTGTTGTTTCTTTTGTGTGTGTGTGTGTGTTTTCTTAGTGGGCTTTTCTTGAGATAATGCACTGGAGGTTATGATTGGATTTCTTGCTTTGTCATCAGTCAAGTCACCTTTATTTATATAGCGCTTTTAACAATACAGATTGTGTCAAAGCAGCTTTACAGTATTAAACAGGAAAATAATGTGTCGATAATGCAAAATGACAATAGTAAACACTCAACTTTCAGTTAAAGGCAGTTCATCATTGATTCAGTGATGTCATCGTCCAGCTCAGATTCATTTCAACTAGTATCTGTGCAATCAAGTCAACAATATTGCCAGAAATTAAGTGTCCCCGACTAAGCAAGCCAGAGGCGACAGCGGCAAGGAACCAAAACTCCATTGGTGACAGAAATGGAGAAAAAAACTTGGGAGAAACCAGACTCAGTTGGGGGGCCAGTTCATCTGGTTCCCGTGGTCTTGTGCCGATGAGCTCAAGTACTGAGGTGCTAAAACATTCAGGGCTTTAGAATTAAAATTAGCAAGATTTTAAAATATATATGATGTTTAATAGGGAGCCATTGCAGTGTTGACAGAACCGGACTAATATGCTCATACTTCCTGGTTCTAGTAAGAACTCTAGCTGCTGTATTTTGGACCAGCTGGAGTTTGTTTATTAAGCATGCAGAACAACCACCCGATAAAGCATTACAATAATCTAACCTTGAGGTCATGAATGAATGTTTCTGCATTTGACATTGAAAGCGTAGGTCGTAATTCAGATATATTTTTAAGATGGAAAAATGTGGTTTTACAAATGCTAGAAATGTGGCTTTCAAAGGAAAGATTGCTATCAAATAGCACACCTAGGTCCCTAACTGACAACGAAGAATTGACAGAGCAGCCATCAAGTGCTAGACATTATTCTAGTTTATCACATGCAGAGGTTTTTGGTCTGATAATTAACACCTGTTTTTTTTTCAGAATTTAGCAAATTAGTATTTATTAGATAATATTAGAATTAGTAGTCATCCATTTTTTTGTCAACTATGTATTCCATTAGTTTTGCAAATTGGTATGTTTGTCGAGCCGCAAAGAAATATAGAGCCAAGCGTAACATGTAAAGCATGAAAAGCAATGGCCCTAGTACTGAGCCTTGAGGTACTCCATACTGCACTTGTGATCGATATGATACCTCTTCATTCACGGCTATGAATTGATGGCAGTCAGATTAGTAAGATTTGATCCAAGCTAATGCACTTCCACTAATGCCAACAAAGTTTTCTAGTCTATTCAAAAGAATGTTGTGGTCAATAGTGTCAAATGTAGTGCTAAGATCTAGTAGCACTAATAGAGAGATACAACTACTATCGGATGATAAGAGCAGGTCATTTGTAACTCTAATGAGAGCGGTCTCAGTACTATGATACGGTCTAAATCCTGACTGGAAATCCTCACAGAAGATTCCATTTTTCTCTAAGAAGCAGAACCGGACTAATATGCTCATACTTCCTGGTTCTAGTAAGAACTCTAGCTGCTGTATTTTGGACCAGCTGGAGTTTGTTTATTAAGCATGCAGAACAACCACCCGATAAAGCATTACAATAATCTAACCTTGAGGTCATGAATGAATGTTTCTGCATTTGACATTGAAAGCGTAGGTCGTAATTCAGATATATTTTTAAGATGGAAAAATGTGGTTTTACAAATGCTAGAAATGTGGCTTTCAAAGGAAAGATTGCTATCAAATAGCACACCTAGGTCCCTAACTGACAACGAAGAATTGACAGAGCAGCCATCAAGTGCTAGACATTATTCTAGTTTATCACATGCAGAGGTTTTTGGTCTGATAATTAACACCTGTTTTTTTTTCAGAATTTAGCAAATTAGTATTTATTAGATAATATTAGAATTAGTAGTCATCCATTTTTTTGTCAACTATGTATTCCATTAGTTTTGCAAATTGGTATGTTTGTCGAGCCGCAAAGAAATATAGAGCCAAGCGTAACATGTAAAGCGTGAAAAGCAATGGCCCTAGTACTGAGCCTTGAGGTACTCCATACTGCACTTGTGATCGATATGATACCTCTTCATTCACGGCTATGAATTGATGGCAGTCAGATTAGTAAGATTTGATCCAAGCTAATGCACTTCCACTAATGCCAACAAAGTTTTCTAGTCTATTCAAAAGAATGTTGTGGTCAATAGTGTCAAATGTAGTGCTAAGATCTAGTAGCACTAATAGAGAGATACAACTACTATCGGATGATAAGAGCAGGTCATTTGTAACTCTAATGAGAGCGGTCTCAGTACTATGATGATATGGTCTAAATCCTGACTGGAAAACCTCACAGATTCCATTTTTCTCTAAGAAGGAACATAGTTGTGATGATATTACCTTTTCTAGTATCTTTGACAGAGAAGAGAGATTCGAGATCCATCTGTAATTAACTAATTCTTTAGGGTCAAGTTGTGTTTTTTTTATGAGAGGCTTAATAACAGCCAGTTTGAAGGTTTTTGGGACATATCCTGATGACAATGGCAATTTAATAATATTCAGAATCTATGTTCCTGGAGATCTACCTTCCTGCAGAGTTCAGTTCTGATCAAACACACCTGTCTGTAATTATCAAGTGCTCCTTCAGATCCTAATTAGTTGGTTCAGTTGTGTTTGATCAGGGTTGGAGGTGAACTCGGCAGGAAGGTAGATCTCCAGGAACATACTGTAGATTCTCTACTGAATATTATTCAGGGTTGGGCACCCCTGGTATAAGGACCAAATGTCCCCACAAGGATAGTAAAACCTGAACTTTTTGACATTGTGAAAAATATAGTAAATGATGTTTATCTGAAAGTGTAACAATGCAAACAGATTTTCTGTAAGGGGTAGGTTTAGGGTTAGGGGATTGAAAATATTGTTTGGTCAGTATAAAAGTAATAGAAGTCTATGGAAAGTCCACACAATTCACAGAAACAAAAGTGTGTAATTGACTTAATGAATTGCAATACTTATAGTAGCTATAATGCAAAAAGGAGAATTAGATTGAATGCTTCTAATTTACATAGTTTGCCACGCCCTGTCTAAAACACACAAGCACTCTATATTAATAAAGGAACACACATTTTACAGACCTTCATATTTAATTATATTTGATTACATGCATTTGCAATTAGTTTGTAAAAGGTGGTTATACAGATCTGGGCTGCGTTTTCGTTGCATTCACACAGTTTTGACCAGCAGGCGGTGTTTCGAGCTTTCGAGCGCCGTAAATCGTTTTGCGAAGCAATTGGTTTATTTGATTTAGTTTCGAAAAGCTTAGGTTTCTCCCATCACTCCATCACTAGATATTTAAAAATACCATACATTTACCCTTTCACAACAATTGCAGGCACGCGTTGTTATGCTCCGACGACATTTCCCGTCTAACCCGGAAACGCTTCAAACTCCACAGAAGTCTCCAGTTAGCTTATCCTGGTTTAGCCTTATCGCTTTATTTTGTTAATCAAATAAAGGAATAAAATATTAAGTTATATTTGAATTTGATCAGAGTCAGAGCGCAAAGATACTCATTCTAAAGGTAAAACCTGCATCGCCTGAATTCTCGATTTTAACGTATAACCTAAATATGTTGCGGTGGTGTCACGGTTGACAGTAATTGTCGCTATTAGAGCTGATAAAGCAATTAAATCGTAATAATATACATCTAATGTAGAATTACCCGATATATGAGTATAGTATTGCACTAGTTTTAACGCTGTAGCATCTGCACTGCACATGTATTAATAGTGTTTATTATTGTTTAGGTCTGTGTTCATACTAGCTCCTCTTTCTGCCTCCAGTGTTTTCTCAGTGTTAAACAGCTGATCAGGAGATCATGGAGAAAGGTAAGACAACATTATAATAGCAGAAGTTTTAATTTCAAAAAGTGTTTGGTAGCAGTTTTCACTCATCTACACTGTAGATGAACGGACAGTGTGTTTGGAATAGCTAATGGTTAGAGTTCTGATTGATGAGGTGTTGTGTTGGGTCAAGTTGTGTTTTTTTTATGAGAGGCTTAATAACAGTCAGTTTGAAGGTTTTTGGGACACATCCTGATGACAATGGCAATTTAATAATATTCAGAATCTATGTTCCTGGAGATCTACCTTCCTGCAGAGTTCAGTTCTGATCAAACACACCTGTCTGTAATTATCAAGTGCTCCTTCAGATCCTAATTAGTTGGTTCAGTTGTGTTTGATCAGGGTTGGAGGTGAACTCGGCAGGAAGGTAGATCTCCAGGAACATACTGTAGATTCTCTACTGAATATTATTCAGGGTTGGGCACCCCTGGTATAAGGACCAAATGTCCCCACAAGGATAGTAAAACCTGAACTTTTTGACATTGTGAAAAAGATAGTAAATGATGTTTATCTGAAAGTGTAACAATGCAAACAGATTTTCTGTAAGGGGTAGGTTTAGGGTTAGGGGATTGAAAATATTGTTTGGTCAGTATAAAAGTAATAGAAGTCTATGGAAAGTCCACACAATTCACAGAAACAAAAGTGTGTAATTGACTTAATGAATTGCAATACTTATAGTAGCTATAATGCAAAAAGGAGAATTAGATTGAATGCTTCTAATTTACATAGTTTGCCACGCCCTGTCTAAAACACACAAGCACTCTATATTAATAAAGGAACACACATTTTACAGACCTTCATATTTAATTATATTTGATTACATGCATTTGCAATTAGTTTGTAAAAGGTGGTTATACAGATCTGGGCTGCGTTTTCGTTGCATTCACACAGTTTTGACCAGCAGGCGGTGTTTCGAGCGCTTCGAAACCGTAAATCGTTTTGCGAAGCAATTGGTTTATTTGATTTAGTTTCGAAAAGCTTAGGTTTCTCCCATCACTAGAGTTTAGGATATTTAAAAATACCATACATTTACCCTTTCACAACAATTGCAGGCACGCGTTGTTATGCTCCGACGACATTTCCCGTCTAACCCGGAAACGCTTCAAACTCCACAGAAGTCTCCAGTTAGCTTATCCTGGTTTAGCCTTATCGCTTTATTTTGTTAATCAAATAAAGGAATAAAATATTAAGTTATATTTGAATTTGATCAGAGTCAGAGCGCAAAGATACTCATTCTAAAGGTAAAACCTGCATCGCCTGAATTCTCGATTTTAACGTATAACCTAAATATGTTGCGGTGGTGTCACGGTTGACAGTAATTGTCGCTATTAGAGCTGATAAAGCAATTAAATCGTAATAATATACATCTAATGTAGAATTACCCGATATATGAGTATAGTATTGCACTAGTTTTAACGCTGTAGCATCTGCACTGCACATGTATTAATAGTGTTTATTATTGTTTAGGTCTGTGTTCATACTAGCTCCTCTTTCTGCCTCCAGTGTTTTCTCAGTGTTAAACAGCTGATCAGGAGATCATGGAGAAAGGTAAGACAACATTATAATAGCAGAAGTTTTAATTTCAAAAAGTGTTTGGTAGCAGTTTTCACTCATCTACACTGTAGATGAACGGACAGTGTGTTTGGAATAGCTAATGGTTAGAGTTCTGATTGATGAGGTGTTGTGTTGTGCTGCAGATGTGAAGACAGGCATCCCCTCTGGCGTGGCTGCAGAAGCGGCGGCTGGACCTCTGGTGTCACAGAGCCGATCCGAGGACGAGGAGTCCACTGCTGTAAAGAGGACAGCCGCTCAGGCCTTCAGCGGAGCCGGGATGATTCCCAAACGCAGAAGCTCCTCCAGGTGAAGAGGAGTCATCCGTTACCATAGCAGTTCACTGTGGTAATGTACGTATGTCTAAAAGGTGTCAACTCATTACATTTTAGATCAATAAAGAGAAAGAAGTTTGATGATGAACTGGTTGAGAGCAGCCTTGCGAAATCTACCAGTCGGGTCAAAGGTCAGCCAGTCATCGAGCCAATCAGATGCCCTGGGAATGACCTTGCATCCAGTGACAAGAAGAAGGTAATGAATGTTATTGGATTTTATTTCACAAATCTCTGGGTTATTTGATTGTGGTGAATCTTGCCTATTATTTTCTGGCCAAGAACCACTATGATAGACCACTGTAAATGTGTGTGTGTGTGTGAGAGAGAGAGAGAGAGAGGAGAATTATAATATACCTACCTGTCAATAGTTTAAAATATTTGAGATTTAGGTTTTCGTTTGTAATTTATTGCTGTGATCAAAGCTGAATTTTCAGCATCATTTCTCCAGTCTTCAGTGTCTCGTGATCCTTCAGAAATCATTCTTAATATGCTGATTTGCTGCTCCTCAAGAAACAGTTGAAAACAGTTTTTGCTCTGATACACTATCATTTAAAAGTTTACACTATCATTTAAAATTCCACAAGGGAGCATTAAAAGTGACAGTAAAGACATTTATAATGTCACAGCAGAAGATTTGTATTTCAGTTCAATTCTGTTCATTTAGAGTTTTCTTCATTTAAGGAACCTGAAAAAAATAGCATGGTTATTTTTAACCATTTTCAATATTGAAAATAAAGAGAACCATTGTTAATAATTCAGGACAAATAATAAAAAATCATTTAAAAAGCTGAGCTTCAAATCAGCATATTAGAATGATTTCTGAAGGACTGTGTGGAAATTCAGTTTTGCCATCACAGGAATGCATTTGAAAATATATTCAAATAGGTAACAGTTCTAAATTGTAATGATATTTCAAAATACTACTATTTTTACTGTATTTTCAACCAAATAAATGCAGCCTCGATGAGCATTTGAGACTTCTTTCAAAAGCAAAATCAAATTTTAAACAGCAAATATTAAGCAACAAATTTTCTGCATAGCTGAAATAAGACCTTGCGCTTTTAATATAATAGAATCATTTTAGCTCGTATATATTTCGTTTCATTTCTTTTCTATACTTGCGTATGTGCAATACAGTCATTACATGTTTTATATACAACGATGGTGTTTTTCTGTGTTTGTTTTTCTGTCTTTTAAAGTAAACATGCATGGTGCTAGTAGATTTGATTTACTGATATGTAACATCTGTATTTTAAGTGTGACATGAAACATTCTTTACCTTTCAGTTGATCTGCTACTCCATAATTTGTCTCTGAACTGTAGGGTTTAAAGTCTGGCAGCTCTCTTACACCTCCTCTTAGCATGCTGATGGCGCCTTCATCGATGACCAAACGAATGAAGAGAAACAAGCAGCCGTTACAGATCACCAAAGACCTGGGCCGCTGGAAACCCACTGATGACCTGCTGCTCATCAATGCCGTTTTACAGGTCAGCTGTCAGATTTTAGGAGCTTAATAGTTTAGAGACGTTCTGCTGAGATGAGTTGAACTGACGTAGATGTACAGTTGAGGTCAAAAGTTTACATCCCCCTTGCAGAATCTGCAAAACGTTAATTATTTTACCAAAATAAGAGGGATCATACAAAATGCATGTTATTGTTTATTTAGTACTGACCTGAATAAGATGTTTCCATATAGTCCACAATAAAAAATAATAGTTGAATTTATAAAAATGATCCCGTTCAAAAGTTTACATACACTTGATTCTTAATACTGTGTTGTTACCTGAATAATTCACAGTTGTGTTTTTTTGTTTAGTGATAGTTGTTCATGAGTCCCTTGTTTGTCCTTGGACTCATATGCAACTATTACAGAAAGTTCAAACACTCACTGATGCTTCAGAAGGAAAAAACATGCATTAAGAAGGGGGGGAGGGGGAGGTTGAAAACTTTTTGAATTTGAAAATCAGGGTAAATTTAACTTATTTTGTCTTCTGGGAAACATGTAAGTATCTTCTGTAGCTTCTGAAGGGCAGTACTAAATGAAAAAATATGATATTTAGGCGAAATAAGAAAAATTTACACATCTTCATTCTGTTCAAAAGTAGTTTTTTTTTGTTTGTTGTTTTTCCGGCTCGTAATGCATCGTTTTCCCTCAACTGTAATTTGTGTTCAGACCACAGATCTTACATCCGTTCACCTGGGAGTGAAATTCAGCTGTCGCTTCACGCTGCGGGAGATTCAGGAGCGCTGGTACGCTCTGCTGTATGACCCTGTCATATCAAAGTGAGTTTCTGACCAAATCATTCTTCTCATATAGTTATAGTTCCTGTTTTAATCTGGTAGAAAAGTGAAATGAAAAAAAAAATTGCCATCACCCTCATGTCATTCCGAACCCCAAAGACTTATTGCTTCCCCAGAACACAAGGATAACAGCCATGTTCATTTCCTAATAGCGTCATAAAAGTTATACCTCTTGACCTATTCATTCATTCTGTTCATGGCAATTGAACACCAGGGACAATATATCAACTGATATTTGGCTTTTTATTTTTATTTTTTTTATTTATTTTTTTTATGACTGTATCCACCAACACGTCAGGTAGTGTTGGAAGCTAGAATATTAGTTTGATGCCGATAATCTACCTCTTAATTAGTTACCTCTCTTGAACGGTTCTACCTAATTCTAAAAAGGCAAACGCTTGAATAATTGATCATGTATAATTTTCAATTATGCTCCTACAGTCTGCACATGAGCAATTATTTAAAGGGGTCATATGATGCACCGCCGTTCTCGACCCCGCCAACCCAGCTCACTCTAGTCCGGCCTCAGCTCACTCTAGTCCGGCCTCAGCTCACTCTAGCCTGGCCTCCGCTCACTCTAGCCCGGCCTCCGCTCACTCTAGCCCGGCCTCCGCTCACTCTAGCCCGGCCTCCGCTCACTCTAGCCCGGCCTCCGCTCACTCTAGCCCGGCCTCCGCTCACTCTAGCCCGGCCTCCGCTCACTCTAGCCGGGCCTCTGCGCACGCTACCGATGAGCTTTGTAAAAATCGACGCGTTTCAAAAAGGCGGGGTATAGAGGAGAAACAATAATGTACGGTATGTGGAAAATAATGTGTTTTTTTTACTTTAAACCGCATAAACACATTTCATTACACCAAATACACAATTTTTAGCAGCATCATATGACCCCTTTAAGCAAGTCTTAGAATACCTTAATCTAATAAAATGAATTCCATGAACCTCAAACTCTTAGTTACAGTTTTTTTCTTAATCATGTTTTGTGAATTTGTTTTATTATGGTAGGATTCTAGGAGAAGGAGAAGTTGATATCTGAAATGTAAGTCTATGTGTATTGATGCTTTTAAATGGATTCCTATTTAAATGCAAAGCTTCTCAGATTTTCTTCTCTGGAAGGGTTTGGGATGACATGAGGGTTAGTAAAAAATGAGGGAGTTTTTGCTTTTTAGTTTACTCATCCGATGTGTTTCTAGTGCAACCTCTGCCTAAAGGAGAGCAAGTGCTGAACTTCTCTGATGCAGAGCAGGTGGTTGATGATGCCAAACTCAAGTAAGTAAACCGCAGCTACACCATCATGTGTGTATGAGTTCATTAACAAATAATACTTCACAATAAGACTTTGTCCTGCAGTGTGACTAATGAACTTTTTAAAATATATATATTTTATTTACCTATATCGGTTTTTATGCAACAACAAATTAAATGCAAACACGTAAATTCTGTTAAGTTTAGCTTCTGTGCTATAATGTAACCTATGTGTTACTGTAAACGACAAATGAACTTTTAAAAGTGAATTCAAGTTTAATATTTTTAGTCATGCTGCAGCACACTGTTCGAAATGTCACTCATTATGTGTAGATGCACATTAGAAAATGGTTTATTGTGAGAGAGCTTGTTTTCATGCATATATGTGACCCTGGAGCACAAAACCAGTCTTAAGTCGCTGGGGTATATTTGTAGCAATAGCCAAAAATACATTGAACGGGTCAAAATGATCGATCTTTCTTTTATGCCAAAAATCATTAGGGTATTAAGTAAAGATCATGTTTCCATGAAGATATTTTGTAAATTTCCTACCGTAAATATATAAATATAGGACTTCATTTGGGCAACTTTAAAGGCAATTTTCTAAATATTTAGATTTTTTTTTTGCACCCTCAGATTCCAGATTTTCAAATATTTGCATCTCGGCCAAATATTGTCCTAACAAACCATACATCAACGGAAAGCTTATTTATTCAGCTTTCAGATGATGTATAAATCTCCGTTTTGAAAAATTGCACTTTGTCCTGCAGTGTGACTAATGAACTTTTTAAAATATATATATTTTATTTACCTATATCGGTTTTTATGCAACAACAAATTAAATGCAAACACGTAAATTCTGTTAAGTTTAGCTTCTGTGCTATAATGTAACCTATGTGTTACTTTAAACGACAAATGAACTTTTAAAAGTGAATTCAAGTTTAATATTTTTAGTCATGCTGCAGCACACTGTTCGAAATGTCACTCATTATGTGTAGATGCACATTAGAAAATGGTTTATTGTGAGAGAGCTTGTTTTCATGCATATGTGACCCTGGAGCACAAAACCAGTCTTAAGTCGCTGGGG